TTACAGGCAGAATGAAACTCACAGATTTCTGCTCGTTAATGATGTGTTCCCTTGCTTTGACCTGGCTGTCAGACATTGACATCGCTTGTAAAGCCAGCTTCCTGCACCCATGCTGTGGTGTGATCTGCGAGCACAGGCAACCCTTAGTTCACTGTGTTAGAAATGTAGAGAAATAGTAAAATGTTTGAAGAGGAAATGCATTTTGTTTTTATTGGTAATTTATATTCTGGGCTATGTTTGATTGTGAATATTTTCTTTTTAATTATTTTTATTTTATGTGTATTGATGGTTAGCCTACATGTATGTATGTCTGTGTAAGGGTGTCAGATCTTAATTAGCTGCCATGTGGGTGCTGGGAATCAAACCTGGGTCCTCAGGAAGAGCAGCCAATGCTCTTAACCACTGAGCCATCTCTCCAGCCCCCTATTGTGAATATTTTCACCTATAACTGTAGTATAAAGGTAGGGGTTGGGTTAGGCATGCACACGCACACACACACACACACACACGCACACACACACACACTAGGTATACACATGACTGAAGAAATGCCTCAGTTCGTAAAGACCAACCGATTCTGCCCAGCCTGGCAGCTTGTGTTTGATCCCCGAACCCATTTGTTGGGAGGAAACCAGTTCACAAACCTTGTCTTCTGACACACAAATAAATATTTTTTAAAGTGCAAGTATGGTAGTGCATGCTTGTGGTACCCTCATTGGAGAGGCAGGGTCAGGAATGAGATTGCCTGTCTTGAGCCAGAACTAAGTCCGGGTGACTGATGAAGATGGGGCTCTCGGTGGTGACAGAAATGAGGAAGGCGAGCCCATCTGAGGGGTTTGCGGAGGAGGACTTGGCCCTTGGCTGGGTGAGTGGGTAGACTGAGAAATCTGAAAGCTGGGAAGGTTGAGAGGGAGGACAATGGATTCAGTTTCAGCGTGTTGATTTTGCTGTGTCTGTGGGATGTGCGGATGGGTGTGCTTCCTGGGCAGTTGGATATGACCCTGAAGGTGAAGGTGAAGGAGATATAGGCCTTGGAGCCAGAACAGTGAGAGTTGATGAGATCACCCAGGGAAAGTCAAGTAGGAAGGGCTTTAAGCCATGTAAGGGAATTTTGATGCAACCAAGAGGCGGAGACTGGCTTGAAGACTATAAAACATTTCACATAAGAGCCAGGTGTGGTACATGCCATAATTCCAGCACTGGGGAGGCAGGATAGAGGACTCTATACCACCCTTTCCTCCCCAACTGGCCCCTGTCATGATATTTTATCACCAAAATTGTAATCCTAAGGCAAGGCCACCACCACGTCAGCAGCCAGAAAAATAGAAAGAAAAGCAAAAGGGAGAGGCAAATAGCTCGTTGGTGGCCACATTCTGCTTTTCCTTTAACTTTCATATAGCTACAGTCAGATATCAAGCTAAGTTACAGGCAGAAGGAAATTCACATTTATTCAGGACAGATACATGGAAGTCAAGGCATTGGAATGTTGAGAGTCTGGACTGTGAAGCTGGAGTACTTCAAACCTGCACTAAACCAAGCATCAGTACTTCGGGAGCTTGTTTAAGGTTGAATAAACATTGAACAGAAAGTCCAAAGCCCAAGTTCCTTCTGTTGACAACTAGCATGGCTAGAGTGCTGGTTGGTTTTTATCAACTTGACACAAACCTGGACATCATCTGGAAAGAGGACATCTTAATTGAGAAATGCCTCCATCAGATGGGCCTGCAGTCCGCTCACTCTGTGAGGCATTGTTTGGATTGATGCAGCAGGCCCAGCTCTCCATGGGTGGCCCTGGGTTGTATAAGAGCGCAGACTGAGCAAACTATGAGGAACACGCCAGGAAGCAGCTCTCCTCCTCCGTGGTCTGGGCTTCAGTTTCTGCCTTAAGTTCCTGTCCCGACTTCCCTGAAACTTGTAAGATAAAATAAACCCTTTCCTCCCTAAGTTGCTTGTGTCCGTGGCATTTTTATCACGATAGAAACCCTAAGACAGCTAGTCGTCCGTCCGTCTGTAGTAACAGTGAGGGTGCAGTTTAGCGGGCCCTCGCTTCCCACACCACTTTTAAGTTTAGGTGTTCCTGGAACCATGCTACGGTTTGATGATTTGTTAGGACTCTGGGAACTCACTGAGAGCTGTGGTTCTCCCTGGGGGGCGAATCCAGGCGGAGGGTTCCTAACACAGCGTCAGTTGTCTGGGCCAGTGAAGTCATGGGCAGTGTTAGCTCCTGCTAGCAGTGTTGCAGAACACTGCCCATCAGGGCTTTGTAGGGTAGATGCCCTCAACTCTTCAGGTCTGACCTCAGCTGATGCCACATGACCAAAACTCTCCCTTCATAACGCATAAGTCATCCGGTGTGACCTAAGACAGTAAACATCGGGCAGGATATTGCAGTACCAAGGACAAAGGTTGTGTATACTTCCCTCTGAACAATCTTGAATTATTTAACACCCAGGGACATTGATTTTATTTTAACTTAGGGGGTGACTATCTCATAGAGCAATCGTAGAGATATAATAAAACACTGGATCAAACGGTCCTAGATCCCACAGTGGGAGAGGAACAGTTGGCCTCTCGTTCCCACACACTTGCCTGCACTTTCAGACACACATCATAAGCATCGTTATCATCATAATTGGAGCTGAAGAAATGACTCTGGGTTAGAGCACTGACCATTCTTCCAGAGAGCCTGGCTTCGGTCGCCAGCACCCACATGGCAGCTCACAGCCATATATAACTCCTGCTCCAGGTATCTGGCACCCTCTTTGGGCCTCCTTGGGCACTACACACATGTGGTGTACCCACCACATGAGGCAAAACACTCAGACACATAATTTCTTAAACAGCAGTAACATTGAGGGTCAGGAGAGACGGCTTATTGGCTCATTGACACGGCCTGCTCCTGTAGAGGATGTGGGTCCAGTTCCCAGCGGCACATGGAGATGCACATCAGTCTGTAACTCCAGCCCCAGAAGACCCAGCTGTAGTAGATATTCACTCTGTCCGCACCTGTGGCACTGACCACGCCCATTGTGGGTGGGGAAAGGGTCGGTCATGACCTGGGGGAACTAGGTCTGGGGAAGGAGGCTCTCTTGGGATGCCTGGAGGCATCCTTGGGACCAGGAACCTGCTGGTGTTCATCAGTCTCTATTGTAAGTTATTTCTCCCTGAATAAACGTCTATTCAGTCTATCTGTTTTCCCTGATCCTTATTAATCCACGATACCCAGTACCTTCTTCTGGCCTCCATGGGCACTGCACACATATGCACAGACTCCATGAAGGCAAACACTCTATGTATAAAAATAATAACACCTCAAAAATGTTTTTGAAAAGTGGCCTGATAATTTGTGAGATTTCCAAGTTATGTATAGCTAGCGGTTCATGACTTAGATTTGAACTTCTGACTCAGAGCTGATAGTATTATGTCTTATGTGCAGTTGGGCATTGTCTAATGCTGGGGATACATTCTGAGAATCCCTTTGTTGGGCAGTCTCGCTCATCTGCAAACACCATAGAGTTTACTTACACAGAGCCAGATAGAATAGCTTATGGTATATACCATTGTATATGCTGTCTGTCAGATTGACCAAAGCATTGCCATGCAGGTATTTGCATTGCTTAAATGTAGCTAGAGCATGTACCATGCCTATAATCCCAGCATTCAAGAGACAGAGCGGGGAGGATCAGGAGTTTAAGGCCATCCTTGGCTGCATGGCGAATTCAGTACCAGCCTAAACTACATGAGACCCTATTCTTTTTAAAACTGGCAGTTATCTTGTATTTGACAGTTTTAATCGCCAGTGGCTGTCTGAAGAGTGTTGGAGGGTAACACCAAATCCATTTGTGGAAGCTTAGAATGATTGGGAAGACGATGGCGTGGGAGCAGTTGACTATTAACTCTGCATTGTCAAGTGAGGGGGATGCAGGGATAGCTTGGGAGCCTAGCCTGCAAGGGGAAATTGGGTCTGGGTGATGTATTTTAAAGATGAGCACCATATCTGGCTATCCTGACCCTTGTACAGTATCCACTTAGTTCACACCATACTCTATGATAGTGTATTTTGATGGTGAAAATTGGGGTTCTGAAAGATGATTTCATACTGATAGTAAAATGGAAATAATAACTGATCACGCTTGGTCATTGTGAGGGATAAATGGGAAAATTGAGCGTGGCGAGGGTAAGCGGTTTGTGTGAGGGCGCCTGTGCCATCGGGAGTGCTAGGCACACAGCGTCCGGCCCCTGTTGTTATGTGTATGCGTATTTTTAATGATTTATTTATCTTTATTTTATGTGCACTGGTGTTTTGCCTGCCTGCGCGTCTGTGAGGGTGTGGGGTCCCCTGGAACTGGAGTTACAGACAGTTGTGAGCTGCCATGTGGGTGCTGGAAATTGAACCTGGATCCTCTGGAAGAGCAGCCAGTGCTCTTAACCACTGAGCCATCTCTCCAGACCCCTGTTATATATGTTTATATAAACTCCAGTGGATAAAAATTAGTCTTGGAAGCTTGGTGGCAGTGGCGTACACCTTTAATCCCAGCACTTGGGAGGCAGAGGCAGGTGGATCTCCAGGTTGGAGTCCAGCCTGGTCTACAGAGTGAATTCAGGACAGCCAGGGCTACAGAGAAACCCTGTCTCAAAACACAAAGAGAAAGAAAAAGATATTAATCTTGTAAAATGTGATGCAAAATACATTGATAAATTCTATTAACATGTACTTTCAAATCTATTCCAACTGTTACATTGAAAATAAAGCTTGGATGGTGCAGTAAATGTCTATATTACGATGTTCTCAGTCTAGCTGGGCGTAGTGACACATGACTTTAATCCCAGCATTTGGGAGTCAGAGACAGGCAGATGTGTGTGAGTTCCAGGCCAGCCTGGGCTACATGGGGAGATTCTGTTTTAAGAAAGAAAAGATATTTCTATTCACTAACTTTAGGTTTGTGTGTGTGTGACTTTTTGCTTTATGTATTCTGAATTTTCTTTTCGTTTAATTCCAGATTTAAACCACCACCATGTCGAGCAAAAAGGCCAAGACCAAGACCACCAAGAAGCGTCCCCAGCGGGCAACGTCCAATGTGTTCGCCATGTTTGACCAGTCCCAGATCCAAGAGTTCAAAGAGGCCTTCAACATGATCGACCAGAACCGGGATGGCTTCATCGACAAGGAGGACTTGCATGACATGCTCGCCTCTCTAGGTATCCTTTTGTGTGCATTTTCCCCCATGGCTATACAGCTCTGAACTATTTGTTTTGGGATTCAGTTCTTGTCCCCAACAGCCTTTGAGAAACTTTTGGGTGTGGGGGAGGGGCCTTTTCAGGACTGGGCCTGGCATGAGGGGAATCAGCTGCAGGAGGGGTTCAGGCAGGTACTGTTCCTGTTAGCTAAGTTATTGTGCCTGTGTGAGCCTGAAGGGTGCGTGTGTGCGCGCGTGCGTGCGTGTGTGTGTGTGTGTGTGTGTGTGTGTGCGCGCGCGCGTGCACGCACGGGGCACGTGTGCATGCCAGAAGGGGGTGTGTGTCTGTGTGAGCCTGAAGGGTGTGTGTCTGTGTATATTCACATGCGTGTGTATGTGTGCATGCTGGTGGCTATGTGCAAACGATCAGAAGTCGCGGTAACAATGCAGCCAATAATAATATACTGAGGGTGGCTGGAGGACCAATCATGAGCAAATGAAGAAAGATGTGGCACTTCATAACTAATAATGGTTGTCTGGGAAAGAAGGGCAGTGTTACTCAAAAATGGACCCCCCCCCCCAGGAAAGAGACTTCCACAATAATGCTTTTTATAATTTAAAAAGACATTGATTTTTTTCCCCCAGGCCTGCCTCTGCTTCCCTATTGCTAGGATTAAAGGTGCACGCTGTCGCTACTGCCCGGCTACACACGTTTTTTAAAAGATCCGTTTTAGATTCCTGTTTCACTCTGAGAACTCTCTTGAATCTTTGGGTCCCAGTCATCCCTGCCCTCCACCACCAGAATGCGGCAGGCGTTGGGTGTGATCTGCCAACGGGGAAGCAGGTTTTACTTTTACTTGTTCAGTGGCTCCTGTAGTACCGGTGAGCTGAGTAGGCATAGCGAGCTAGAATTGCCGTGCAGTGAAAGAGCCATCCATGTGTTACTTAAATTCTCCCAGGTTCTAGATCGGACTGTTGTTCCTGTTAGTTTGGTATAATCTGAAATGCTTCTGATCTGAAGATCCAACCACACATCCTTTTCATGTGTATCAGCTCTGTGTCCGAGGGGGCCTTCCAGATACCGATGTTAGCCAGCCCTCTTCACAGGTTAAAACTGAAGGGGGTTGAGTGGGCCGGATGGCACGGAGCTCGGTGTTTGAACCCCTGGGTGCGAGTTCCGATTCTTCCACCTTCTCCGGGCTTTGTAACCAGTTGGTGAACTGGTTTTCTAGATCTTTCCTATGGGGAGCTAGCTGTGTAGTTGTTCCCCTCACTGTCAGGCAGAGAGTTATATCAGTAGAGCTGAGATCCAGGATTCTCTTTACAAACAAGGCTGAGCAGGGGGATGAGACAGCAGAGTCGCTGAGAATCTGAGGCCAGCCTGGGCTATAGACGGAAACGCCTCCCCTCCCCCAAAAAGAGAAAAGCAAAAGCAAACAAAAGACTCTAGTCAAAAGAAGTTCCCAGTCCCAAACTGGCCTAAGTTATAAGTAATTTTGAAGCATACCAGTTCACATTAGTTCACATATCATAATGAGAAATATGTTGATTTTGTTTTTAAGCTGGTGTTAAACTAACAACCTCTTGATGAACCAGTGTAGGATCAACAACATGCGATATTGTGTTATTTCCTGTCTAAGCTTGAGACCTTGCGGCTCTGTTTGGGTGTTTGTTTGTTGTTTTATTTTGGTTTGGTTTGGTTTGAGGTTTTTTGTTTGGTTTTTTTTTTTGGCTTTTTTGTTGTTGTTTTTAACAAAAAGTGGTAAAGAAGCTGGCAAAATGACTCAGCATGGGAAGATGCTTATGTCTTATGCCTGTGGGGTTTGATCCCTGGAACACTTGTGGAAAGAGAAAAACTCTTGAAAGGTGTCCTCAGACCTCCACACATGTTATGATGCACACACACAAAATAACGCAATAAAAACCTTTTAAAAATATGTTTGGTATCATAACAATAGCCAGGTGATCCAAAACAAGTGAGTTTTGTCCTTTGTTTGAATGTGTGCTCTTACAGGCAAGAACCCCACCGACGCCTACCTGGATGCCATGATGAACGAGGCCCCAGGCCCCATCAATTTCACCATGTTCCTCACCATGTTTGGAGAAAAGCTGAATGGCACTGATCCCGAGGATGTCATCAGAAACGCCTTCGCTTGCTTCGACGAGGAAGCAACTGGTAAAAGCTGCTTGCATGTTTGTGTCCAGCTTCATTTTAGGGTGCATGAAGCACATTTTAGGACATGATTTTAACATCAAAACTTTTTTTAATTAAAAAGAAAACCCTGTTGTTTTAAAATAGCCCTGCCACACAGCTGTTGCTGTGTGGGTCCATTATGTAGCCTTAGAGAGTGAGACTCCTTTCAGAGACCCTGATTTCTCTGAAAGACACAGTTCACAGCATGAGTGCACTGTGATTGTCCCCTGAGCCATTGGTCCGGGTGACGTTGCCTTTTGTTCTGGGCAGCCACTTTTTACTTCACTTTATATTTCTATACTGTGTTTTTTTTTAAAGATTTCTTTTTTGTGTATAAATATTGTGTGTGTGTAAGATCCTTGGAACTGAAGTTACAGATGATTGTGAACCGCTATGGGATGCTGGGAATCAGACCCCGGATTCTCTCTCTGAAAGAGCAGCCTGTGCTCTTAATCACTGAGCTACTTCTCTCGTTTGAAGCTTTTAAAGTAATTTAGTATTCCTAAAAAAACTCCGAAGCGGCTGGGAAGCCTTATTGTATACTGGCTGTAGTATGTGGTAGTCGATGAGTTTGCTGGCCTAAGGCTGGTTTCGTTTAGAATCATGGCACAGAGTATTTGTGAGTCCGCCCTCTGTTGCCCTCCAGGCACCATCCAGGAGGATTACCTGCGGGAGCTGCTCACGACCATGGGCGACCGGTTCACAGATGAGGAGGTGGATGAGCTGTACAGGGAAGCCCCCATTGACAAGAAGGGCAACTTCAACTACATCGAGTTCACACGCATCCTCAAGCACGGCGCAAAGGACAAAGATGACTGAAGAAGCTCACAGAAACCCCTGCTGCACCCACAGCTCCATTTCTCAGACACGTCTCCCACTTGGTAGGACCTGCTGCATGCCACTTAGTGTCACAGCTTTGCCTCTTTATAATGTATTTATTTCAGACCTTTCTGTCATTTATCACTTGTATAATCAGACTGGGATGGGAACAATGTTGTAAATTGTACTGAAAATGAGATGCGAATAAAAATCAACAAATGTGAAAGCCTGGGAAAATACACCCGCATATCTGGTTTTGCTGGATTTTTTACATTTTTATATAATAAAAATGTTATTTTGAAATAAAGATTATGCTGACTCAAATGGAGTATAAAACGAATGAGTGATAGTTTGGGGTAGTATTCCTTTCTTCAAGTTCCCAACTTTGTAAGGATCAGACTTTATAATTTTCACATCCTTGTGACAATGTTCTTCAGGATTTTTTTTTTTTTTTTTTTTTTTTTTTTTTTTGAGGCAGGGTTTCCCTGTATTGTTTTGGAGCCTGTTGTCCTGGAACTAGCTCTGTAGATCAGGCTGGCCTCGAACTCACAAAGATCTGCCTGCCTCTGCATCCCAAGGGTTGGAACTAAAGGTGTGTGCCACCAACACCTGGCAAGAACTTTAGAACTTTTAACTGCACTTTAGCATCTTTAAAAGCTAGTTACACCCTTGATCTGTACCCTGCTTCCTCTAGGGAGATGTCTGCTAATGTAGGGTGTTGTCTAGACAAACGGACGCTTCACTGAGCAGCATTGCGCCTCCGTCTTCACAGTTTGGTGAGAGGGGCTGTAACTGACTCTACTGGAAGTGGAGGTGGTTACTGGGGTCGAAACCAGGGTCCTGAACCACAGCCACACCCTAGCCACTTGCCTTCTTTTGTGAGTTGGGGTTGGGTGAGAGCTAAACTCAGAAGCCCAGTAACTGGCTCTTCGGTCATTGTTGGTCAGAGTCACCGTTGTGTCTCCTGACTCCAGAACTCACAGTACTGGAGCCAAGATCTGCAGAAAGCAAAAGTGCCAACACATTTCCATTTCACCGAGTTCAGAACCCGGCAGTCATGGCTCACATTTAAAGTCATCTTGCAGAAGACAGTTATTTGAAAATTTTCAGATTTTTCCCAGGGAGAAAGCAGACGGCAAAGATGAACTATGCTCAGCAAATGCAAAGCCCTATGCTCAAACCTCGGTGGGGGGAAAAAATTAGAGGATAAACAGTATAAGCAATTACAGATGTGCTAAAGACAGGAGAAAAGGGTAGGCTGTTAAAAGTGCTTAAAAGGACGTTTGGTGACAGGGACGCCTATTTTTCCTTCTAAACATGGTGCTCGAAGTTAGCACGCGCACCACTTGCTGCCCGTGTCTTGTAGCTTGGTGTGGCACTCTGTCTACTTTCTCCTGCTGTCCTTTTACTAGCCGAGCTCTTCTCTCGCCTTTAAATTAGATAGTCTTCTGCCGTCGGGTAAACATTCACATTCTGCAAAGGCGAAATCACTGCTACTACTCAACTGACAAAGCCAACACTCGCATCCAGGACCCCGATGAATCCCAGGCATCCGTGTGAGGCTCCCGTTTCCACCTAGAATCTCAGTCACTAGGAAGTGTCGCAAAGCCAAGGGGACTGATTGTCAGGTAGGTAAGGCATGGCAGATATAGTCACCAAGCCACTTATCCGGTATTAACCAGCAAGCCCTTGTGATGCTTACCAAAGGCCAAGGCAGACAGGAGAGACAAGGCCACTGCTCTGGTAAGGCTCAGGTTCCAGGCAGGCACATGATGGATGACAGCACATAGATACTATGTGGTGGTGAAGAACAGTGCATGGCAGAATGTAGGCAGAGACAGTTCCTACAAGGTGTGGCCAGGGTGAGGTCTGCTTGACAAGAAGGGGTCCTATACAAAGGCTGGCGTGAGACTGTCCACTCAGGAGACGGCTCCTCCCAAGGATGTCATCAGTGGGGAATCCCCTGGCTTTAAGTAGGAAAGCGCCATGGTTTGTGTTTGAAAAACTCATTGCTGTGTATAGGATTGAGGGACAACAGACAAGGCCAGCTGGGGAGCCACAGCTAGCACCCAGGAGATGCAGCCCCTTGGCTTGGGCTAATGGGGACGTGGCTGTCCTTGTCCCACTGATCTACAGTCTGGCTGTGCCTTGTTATGACAGTCTATAAGTTCATTTCATCACTCTGCTTTGAAAAGAAAGGAAGAGAAAAACCAGATTGGAAGGACTGCTATAAATAGGTGCCAGAAGGTATTTTCAATGTTTAAGACAAAGCAGAATCAATGTCCAACAAATAACCCCTGGTGTTGAGTTCAGTATCATCCTCTGAGAGCCTTATTGGTCCTATGCCATTGGAGTGTGTGCGTATAAACCTCTTAAATGGCATGCAGGAGCCTGAGGACATAGATTTTTGGTAGAGTTCTTGCCTAGTATTTATTCATGAAGCCTCAGGTCCAACTCAAACACTGCATAAAAATACAAGAGCGTCAGCTCAGGCCTGTGTGATCCCAGCACTGGGAAGGGAAGGCAGGAGGATCAGAAGTTCAAGGTCATCTTGGATATATAGTGTTTGAGGCCAGCCTGGCCTCTTTGTAAGAGACCCTGCCTCGATAAACAAAATGGACTAAGCATTTTCTGATTGTTACAAGTAAGAATCAAATCTGCCTCTACGTGGAGCCATGCCATCGTCTCCTGTCTTTTAAGAGTTAATCCAGCATGCTGGAGAGAGATGGTTAACAACGCTTGTCATTGTGGAGGAATGGGGTCCTCGCACCCACACCAGACAACTCACAGCCGCCTGAAACTCCAAGTCTAGCGGACATCATCCACTAAACATCCAAGTTTGGCTTCCATGGGTATCTATACACACAGACATATAAATAAGTCTCAAGAGGAAGTTAACCCAGAGTCAGATGTGATGTCAAAGGTCTTTAATGCCAGCACACAGGAGACAGAGGCAGTAGGATTACTTGAAATTCCAGTCCATCTATGCCTACATGGCCACTTCCAGGCAAGCCTGGGCTACACTGTGAGACCCTGCCTCAAACAAACAATGTTTGGTTAATCCAATTGGGCAGGTCAATCACTTGTCTGCAGATCCAACCCTCAGGAAGGCAGGTCCACCCCGACCAACGCTGAAGAGGAATGAGAAGAGCCATCCCTTCAGTGAGGCACTGTACTTCTGTCCTGAATCCCTCCCTCTGCTGTAGCTGCAGAGCTGTTCTGAGGCTCTGTTGGTCTGCCCACTTTTCTCAGTCCTGACTCTCAGGAAGGCATAAACTTTTCTCTTCCCTTTAGATGCCGACAGAGCCTAAGTGTGCTTCCTCTGGGGCTTCGGGCTTCCTTATTGTTTTCCTAAAGCTCCTCTCTCTATCATGTGGCTGCTTGTCCACCATGTGGCTCATCTCCATGTGGCCGTAACTCACACGCCATGGCTTTTGCTTTCTCTGACCTCTTCCAGGCACATGCCGGGGTTTACAACTCGTTTCCCTTGGGGTTTTTATTTTAAACCCTAATAAAGTCATCCTTAAGCTCCCCTATGAGTCTATCCTTAAGTCAGGTCCCATGAAGGGACCTGGTTTTGCTGCTATCACTCTGTACGGAGTATGATAAACCACTCCCTCCAGGGGTGGCCCAGGAAAGTGACGCCACTAGTTTGTTACCCTTGCCCAGAAGTTATAAATGCCTTCGTCACTGCATTTTGTTCTCAGAACTCCAGGAAATGGATAATGTGGACATTGTTAGCTCGTTTTATAGGTAAGAATACTAACTACAGAAGTCACCTGGTTTGCTCAACTTTACTCACTAGTCAGATCTAGCTTCTAAGCTTTCTGACCAAAACATTAAGCCTATAATTTCCTAATTAAATAATTGGTGCCCATGGACTGATCAAGACACTTTCCAGTTAGAAGGGAGTTAAAATTTCCCTCTACTCTTTAAAGTTCAATAACGTGACCCAACCGTGTGTCTTAGGGTTTGTGTTGCTGTGGTGAAACACCATGGCCAAAAGCATCTTGGGGAGGAAAGGGTTAATTTCACTTGTGTGCACAGTTCCATAGAATAGTTCAGTTCATCATCAAAAGCAGTGAGGGCCGCAACTCAAGCAGGGCAGGAGCTGGTGCAGAGGCCACGGAGGGAGCTGCTCACTGGCTTGCTCCTCATGGCTTGCTCAACCTGCTTATAGAACCCAGGACCACAGCCCAGGGATGGCCTCATCCACACACAATAAGATGGGACTTAATCACTAATTAAGAAAATGCTCGGCAGCACGGAAGCATTTTCTTAAGTCTCCCTCCTTTCAGATGACTCTAGCGTTGTGGGCTGTGTGAGCAACACGGTGAAACTCTGAGACTGTGTTGATAAATTAACCTTGGGTCAGGGAGTGCAGCCAGTGACTAGTTGATAGGAATTAGCCATAGGGGGGACAGAGGAGCCAGGGATATGGACAGAGAGATGCACAGGAAGGAGTAGGGAGGGACTTTGAGATTCAAGGTCTCTTTTGGTTTGGGATGGGTGGAGACAAACTTTCTTGCGGAGTCTCTGGCCTTCTGTGACCTAGCAGGTTAACACCCCCCAACATTCTGACTCCTGGTCTCTATTGGTAAGTAGAACGGCTCAGGTAAAAACAAAACTCAAGCTTACAACACTCTAGCTGATATGAGTTAGGATTCAGGCTTCTGCACTGGCCTGTCCTTGGGGTCCTGACAGGACACGCCCTCAGCTGCAGCCACTAAGAGCACCCCACATTCACTACGCTCCCTTTGAGGGCCCTGCCCACCTCCCATCCTTCTTTCTTTCCCTCTCTGCCTGTCCCCACCCCCCCACCCCCCCCCCACACACACACCTTCCCCCTCTCTAGCCAGGACACTTGTCTAGGCTGACATTAGGAAAGTGTAAAAACTATCTGCAGGTGCCCTGATAGCCTCACAGGGGACTCAAGGCCAGGTGTTTGCCATCCAGACTGAGTAGGGGCTGAGACTTGGGGTGGGGTGGTGGGGTAAGGGGCGGGGAGGTTGCTGCGGGGAAGAAATCTACTGCAGACAAACCTTGTCTTGTTAAAGAGATAAACTATCCCAGGGAGCAGCCCCTAGAGGACTAGGTCACAGCCTGGAGCAGAAGCTGCTCTGGGCTCGGTGTGGACCTTTGGCCTCTTTTCCTGGACTCAGCTGTTTCCTAGAATGCTCTTAGGTATTTTTCAGAGCAAACGTCAGCTTGCTTTCTAGATCCAGTCAGCATTCGTAATCACTACATAGTGGGGATTCCTTACTTCCCTGCCCTCTAACATAGTCAATGCTGTCTAGACTGATGTGT